GCGTCTCCCGCTTCCCAGCGCCATGACTGGCTCCTCCTCCCAACTCCAGTCACCGCCTCCCTCTCAGCACCCACCTCTCAGCACCCGACCTTAGAGCAGACTTTTACAGCATCTTAGAAAGGAACTTTGCTGACTAAGGGCTACAGACACTTGTTGGAAAAGAACCGAGAGCAACCATAGGACAGGAAAATACGAATACACACCAAAAATGATGCTCATTTGGTAAGCCTGTCACATTTTGAAAACATGTACTTTAGTTCGAATACTCTGGTCTGATTTTAGGGCTGAGAGGAAAAAGAGGAACAACAGAAGAAGAGACTGTGAGTGGGAGAGGAAGACAGAATGGAGAGAGGAGAAACAGGAGAGAAACACAAGCAGACTGACGAAAGCCCAGCCAAGGCCAAGTGTCCTGGAGAACCAGTCAGAGGTCGTCCGGGCTGCGTGCAGCCACCCGGCGTGAATGAGTCCCACACTCACATTCTCACTAGTCACTGCCAGGCCCCCAAGGTCTGTGGACTGCGTGACCTCAGGAGGACGTGCATTAGAACATGCCGGAAGGTGGGGTCAACTGAGCGAGCATCCGCTGCCTGCGACACTTCATCATGGGACAAGGCTTGGTGAAAGGGGGACCTGCCGGCAAGGTCCCGCAGTCATTCAGTGAATGCGAGTGCCTCTCACCTCCCCGAGCGCCCTGTGCTGCAGGCAGGAGGGAGGGGAGCCCGCGGTCCCGCTCTCCCACCTACCTCTGCCCTTCTCGGCCAGGCTCTGCGCTAGGGAGGCGGGCCGCCAAGGCCTGCAGGACCTGACTCCCCTGCTTGGCGAATGGGGGTTCCGCAGGCCGGAGGCCGGAGGCCAGGCCACGGATGGCCTTCCCCGCCCCTTTCCCAGCTGCGATGCTCTGGACCACAGCTCCTGGGGGGGCCCTATTCCCAGGGCTCCAGCCATGCTGGTCCCTCGCCTTGTCCCTCCGTCTACAGCCGGTCCATGGGGGCCTCACCAGCCCTCGCTGTCTTCCTCTGAAACGATTTTTTCACTCGCCTCTCTTCAGTCACGCCACTTTCACTTTTCTAGGTCTGTGACTAATTCAGAACAGAATGGGAGGTGATCTAAGAAAGTGACTGTTCTTAACTAGAAAAGTCTGTAAAACATTAAAAAGCAAATATTGAATTGAGCAGTAATTCAAATCTGTGTGAGACGCCCCTCACCAGGTTGCATGTCATGTAGCACCATTTGTGAATCTGGGGATTTGTGAAATTCCCCATCTATTCGCTAATATTATAGGTAAATAAAAGAGTGCTTTAGAATCTGGTAAATGCATACACATATTAATTCATTTATAACGACCTGAGGAAAGCACTATTTCTAATCCCATTTTATAAATGAGGACAATGGGGCACAGAGAGGTCACCCCCAGTAAGTGTCAGACCAGGATATGAACCCCAGAAGTCTGGCTCCAGAGTCCAACGTCCCACCTGTTATCCTGTACAGCCTTCCGGGGCCTCCTCTGGGAAGGACAACGGTGGTACCCGCTGAAGGCCGGCGAGGACATGAGCTGAACGAGTGAGGAGACCCGAGCCCGCCGTATGACCCCAGGAGAAGGCGTGCGGCCTGCGTGCTCGCAGTGACTGAGAGACGGACCGGACGCCACGCCGCCCACCAGCGTCCCGATCCCCGAGGGGTTAAGGCTGCTTCCTGTGCTCGGGGCCTGCGCCTGCGCCACCCGGCCCCACACTCCTCCCCACTCACCTGCCAGCCCCGCACTTCTCATTTGCTTCACATTTAAACTAAGTGCCTCCTGTTTTGTCACTTGCATTGTTCTGTTTTACGCTGACACCGCTTTACCATTCCCAGAATTAATGTTCCTCGAAAGCCATCTTCACCTCTGCTCCCTGTAAAGCCCTCACCAGGGCTGTGGGCGGTTACTCATCCACTCCTGCTCACCGGCTCCCCAAGCAGGAAGGCAGGCACTCACTACAGAAACAAGGCAGCTACAAGACAGGGCGTAACCCCATGGAACAGACCCCTCTGTGAATGTGTAAGATTGAACCAGGGGGGCTGGAAGCAAACGGTGGGGGGCAGAACGGAAAGACAGAGGGCAGGTTTTATCACGGGATCAGTGCCGCGTCGCACGGGCATGCAAATCCTCCAACCCAATTTTAAAAAACCTCTAAGCACCTTTGTACTGATTAGTTACAAAACCCACAAGCTGGAGACAACATCTACCAAAGGCTAAGATCGACACAGAGCAAAGCAGTCTCTACTTCCAAATACATGGGTTTTAAAAACCTTAACCCTGACCTTGAACTTTATTACAAGATTCATTGTAGTAGCAAAAAAAAAAACCCTCTTACTAGCAAAAGCAATTTCAATCTAGAATTAAATTAAGAGACAGCAAGACCCTGAACTGTCGATGTAATCAAAGCAACATGAAATAAAGAGGCATGATTATAACAAATCTAAAGAAGAATTCTTAAAACTGCCCCATTCACTTAGAAGATGCCTATTTTTCAAACACACCATTGACTTACTCCAGCATTTCAGCACTGAGGAAAGCGGTCTAGTCTAATGTGACTCTTAAGCACAAAGGAACACTACCTCTGAGCGCTTCCATGATTGGCTGGACCGTCTCAGACCACTGGTGAGCGCTGATGGTCGTATAGATTCCAGGGAAATCTCTCTGCCAGATTCGCTGTCCTACTGACCAAATGCCCCCAAGTTCAGAATTTGCCTGCAATAAACATTATTGTCTTGGAGGATATTCACTCTGCAGATTTACCAACAACAGTTATCTTAAAACATAATTCAACATTTCTTTTAAGAGGCGTAATTACTTTCTCAGCTCAATCACTATCAAAAAGGTTTTTAAATGCCGTGAACAGTGAAGACTATTTATATGTTTGATATAAATTTTTATAATAGCAAATTAAGGCATGAGAATTTAGTCCAAAAATATTTCAGAATTATCTTAAACATTGTTTATTAAAAGATGAACATATATTTCATTATTATACATATGTAAGTCACAGGACATATAATACTGACATATACATATATGTTTTTTTAGGACAAAAGTAATAGCAACATGGCTAACAATGCAGGCTGCCAATCCAAGATATCATACACTGAAGCCTCTCTAAGGATAAAGCTCCCACTAATGTCACTGACACGATGCACATAATTTATGGTTGTTCTTTACTGAAGCCAATGAAGCTGGAGGAACATTAATGGAATGACTGGGGAAAGAAAAGAGAGGAAAAATACTAATCTGATCTGCTGTTGAACATCAATAATAAACAAAAGAGTTCAGATGAATTTTTGGTAATATTCTGTGGGTGTTTAAAAAATTTACTTCACATTTATGTTAGACAGTGAATCACCTGAAAATAAATACTTCATTCTCCTTTGGAAGAAACTTTTAAGAGGTTATTTTTCATCTAATCTCCCACCCAAAATAAGAAACCTAAAATCCTAATTAGTAAATATAATCTTAATGCTATGAGTAATCATCATTTTTAGAATATTCTTATAAACAATACCAGGTTCAAAGTAAATACCATTTTAGGGAACTGCATAAATCAGTTAAAAACAACAACAACAACAACAACAAAAACCAAACCTTTGTCTAAACTGGCTCAGTTGTTTACCTGGTTAAGTGACACTCACATGAAATGTCTTAAGAAATCTGATGCGTTGGAGCTAAGCACAGATTTCTATACCACCCAAGGGAAATTAAAATCTCTGATTAGAAGAATTTGAAGATCTATTCTTAAACTGTAATACCAATTTAGTAACAATTTCCGTGAACCAAATGGGGAAGAAAAAAAACTTATGAGGTGGCCATTTAAATGAATGTCATTACTATATTAAAGTAGCAAAACACTGAAAGAATACTTACAGATTTTATAGCAGGTGGTATTCTTTTCCAAAGATATCTTGCATTGTTCCTAATTTACATCCAAGAAAGATAAGCAATTAAAAAAAAAATCAAGTCAGTAAATATTTAAAATTCTAGATCCCAACACAAACATACAGACGTGTACTTTAAAATACTCTATATAATACAGTGTGAAATTTAGTTTTATGTAATTTTGTCCGGGGTAGTTTTCCAGATCAAAAAACATGAAATATTTTTACCAAAGTAACATTTGTCCATTTGTAACAAAGTTTTATCAATGATCCAGACCTTACATTAAGGCAACAGTACACTAAAACCACAAAGGTTTAAACAGAACTGCCCAAATAATTTATTCATACATCAAAAGAAACAGATTCATACATGCTGCTTGACAATACATACGATGCCCAAGGCTTTTCTCCTTCCCGTGACCGTGACCCCTCCGCATACTAGTGGGGACAGAGCCACCAAAATTTAAGGCGGATTTTAAGAGTTTGGAAGCTTGAACTTCAGCAAACATCAGATAATGGGATTACAGTAAATAAAGATAATTTTTATGATGGATTTAGAATAAAAATCTTGGTTTAGGTTTTTAAAAGGTATGAAAAGGTTTAGAAGAATTTAAAACAAAATTTAACAGTAATCGTCGATGGGTCCTAGAACCATAAGGGGGCTCCTATTTTTTTTCCACAGTTATGGTTTCTGACATTTCTTCAATGAACATGAACTAGGAATAATTAAAAAACAAAAAATTTTCAAGAAATCTCATATATGTTAGCAATAGATTCTTCTTAGCTTTCTCAACCTTTCCTTCAGTTTCTCTTGGTCTGATTACACGTGAAATTAAGTAAATTGAGGTCATAAGAAAGGTTCACAGAAAGACAAAAAAGAAAAGGTCAATAGAATTAAATGAATTTACTGACACTGTAGTTTCTCATAACAAATTGGAGTGTTTTTCATAAGGTCTCTGTAAAACGTGTATTTTTAAATAACTCAGCCCGATCATAATTCATCGTTATGATTCAATATACGGCTCAGGGTATTAAGTATTATATAAACGCTATAGCTCCTTGCGCCTATGTTTTAGTGACGCTACTTCAATGCATGAATTGTGTCTGTACGACCTTGAAGAACGGCTGCTCGTAGCTTTAGGCAGAAGGTACTTACATGTCATTGTGGAGCAGATATAAAGCCAGAAGCTGACCATACACTGGGGGTGTCGCAATTCCTCCAGGAGCCTAGAGGGCAGGAAATCAGAGCGCAAAACCTCATTACTCTCACATTTTTATTTTACTTTTTTAAAAAAGAGTATATTACAAACACCAATAGAAGTATCAAACAATAAAACCCAGAATATTAAGTTTAGCTCTGTCATCAGCAATGATTTCTCTCCCTCTGGGCCTCAGTGTCTTTATACGAACATGAATATTTAAATGGGACCCCTTTCCCAGTTTTCAAATTCTCATATAAATGATCTACTAGAATCAGAAATAAACATTTCCAACAGGTTCCTCCAGTCCTGTGATTCTGCCCATTGTATTAAATATGTTGAGTATCTAAGTAACAGTGATCAACAGAAAGACATCACAGTTGAGGTACCGACGTTTCTACCCTCCTCCCACTGGAACGCATTCGGAAAACATCCATTAAGTGTCTATTAGCGAGCTGCTCTTTTTGGCTGCTGTCTCCTTTGGCTGACTTCTTATACATGCTCTTTACGGGCCTTTCTAAGAAAAAAGGCCTTCACTTTAATAGCTGCATGATGTCACTTTCACCTGTCATAGTCAAGACAACACGGAACGCTCACGTGATAACTTTATGAGACTAACGCGGGCTCTTTACGTTAATAAAATGTTCCAACGGTTGCGGCTTCCTCGGTCTGCGCGCCGCCTGCACAGACATTTAGCAAGAGCCGCCGGACCCCACCTCCGCCCACAGCCGGGAGAAGCGCCGCGCACAGGCCAAGGAGCCCGCGCAGCACCGGGGAGCATGTCAGGAGCAGGGACCCACAGGACCTTCGGGCTCACCGGCCGAAAGCAAACAACAGAGCGCGCCCAGCGAGTTCGGGGGACCTGGGCCTGGATGCTGGGCCTTCGGAGCCGGCCGCGGCGTCCCGGGCTCCACACGCCCAGCCCCGCAGGCCCCAGGCCACGTTACCCGGGAGACCGGCGCCGCCTGGGGCCGGGGAAAGCCCGGCGTTTCTCCCAGCGCGACGCGAAGGGTTACCTCGAGCTCCTGGTTCTCGCACTGATCCAGCAGCTTTTTGAAACTAAAGGCACTTTCTGCCATCACGGCCACGGGCATCTTCCCGGCCGGTCCCGCCACCGTACCTTCCGGATTGCCAGAACCCCTAACTGATCTTTTGGGCGTCGCGCCCGTGATGACGTAAAGGCCTCCTCCGAGTGCCCTTGCGCAGGCGTAACGTCGGTTCCGGTGCGTTGTCGGGCGGCGCCGCGGCTGGCAGGGGCCGCCGCCGCTCTGGCCGGCGCTCTCGGTGCCCCGGAGGACTGGCCCGGCCGGATGAAAAGCTACGCTTTCTGCTCCCGTCCAAACCCAGGCAGGCAGGACGTTTGTGCATGTTTGAGGGCGATTCCGTGACTCTGCTTTGAGGTCTAATGCACACGCACATTTAAAGGTTCCAAACGTAGCTTAGGCTCTGCCCCAAACCAGCTCCCTCAGCCCTCCCCGTGTCTGTGAAGGCCACACCGTCCTTCCACGTGGGGCCCCCCTCCTGCAGACCCCACGCCCGAGGGAAGCGGAGCGAGCCGAGAACACGGACGCCGCCTGCACTTGTGCTCGGCCTCCCTCCGAACTGCTCCGCACGCACAGCCACAGCGGCCGGAATGGTTTCTTTTGAAACATAAATCAGATCTTGTTACTCTTCTGCTCAAACCCCTAAAACCCAAAGCCCTTGCCGTCGCTTACAAGGTGTCGAGGTCGCCTTCTCAGATCCTCTCCGACTTGCACCCGCCCCGCAGGCCTCGCCATTTGCTGCGCAGTGCTTGGCGCTGGCAGTTGGCTACATAATTTGTGGGTGCAGAGGAAATTAAAAATACAGGACCCCTTGTTCAAAACTCGGGGAGGGTGCCATTAAAGGGAAGACAGCTTTTTTTGTTTTTTTTTTTCCTCAGGGTCTCGAACAGAAATCACGCAATTCCTAAGTCATAGCCCATACGCGTACCTTCATTGTATGTTGTTCTTACCGGAACCACGGAAATGCTGCACAAAACTGACAACTGTTTTTAATGTGCCTTGTTTTATGCTCCACCAGCACTTTCTACGTGAGACTGTCTGATGAGTAAGGGAGGGCTGACAGCAAAGGGACTCACCCTTTCCTGCTATGTTATCATTTTCAGTACAATCAAAGGAATATTTCAGCACACTACAAGGAAGTAACGTGAGTAAGAAAGACAGGGCTCCTTGGTTGTTAGTATTCTTAGGACAGCCTTGTCTTCATTATGTATTTGAAGCAAGTTCAGGTTCTAAATAATGTGGCCTCCAGGGCTGTCACCACCCCGCTTGCTCCACCCTAGATATCACGGAGTGCCTTGTACTCACTTGGAGTTTTGCTGAACTCCCACCATTGGGGCTCCTCTGGGAAGTCTATGTTTGTGGGGTGTTTTAAACGCTATGTGGAATGGCAGCGAACATGCGTATTGCACATACCTCTTTGTCATGTGCAAAAATGCTCCACTGTCCCAATGGACTTCACTTACAAAACCAACTTCGAAGATAAAACTATTAAGAATTTCAAGACGGCGACAGCCTCGCTGATTATTTTTTCATAACACCATTTCCATGTGGAAATGATTGTGTTCAGCAATGCTTTGGATGGAATATATACAAAAAAATCACTACAAAAGTCCCTCAATGTACAAAATCAATTATATTTCTATACAGTAACAATGAACAAACAAACTGAGAAAACAACTTTATTTACAATAGCATCAAAAGAATAAAATGGTAATAAATTTAACAAAAGTAGTGCAAAATTTATACCCTGAAAACCTTAGATCTAAGAAGATCTAAATAAATGGAAATACATTCCTTGTTCATGGATTGGAAGATTTTATGTTATGATGGCAATTCTACTCATATTCAGATTCAGTGCAATTTCTATCAAAATCACAGTGGGATTCTTTGCAGATATTGACAAATCATAAAATTCCCATAAAAACACAGGGTCACAGGATAAACAAAACAACCTTGAAAACAAAGAACACTTAGCCTCACACTTTCCACCCAATGTCCAGACCTAACCTCAAAGCTACAGTAACCAAGACAGAATAGATGTGTAGGTCAATGTAATAAAAGCAGATGTATAGATCAACGGAATATATTGAGAGTCCAGAAATAAACGCTTGCATTTGCAGTCAATCAGTTTTTGACTAGGATGACAACACTATTTCCCAGTGGGGAAAAGAATAGTCTTTTCAACAAATGGTGCCGGGACAACTGACTATCCATATGCAAAAAAATGAAGTTGGACCCCCATCTCATGCCATCTACAACAATTAACTCAAACTATCGTAGACCTCAATGTAGCAGCAAAAACTACAAAACTATCAGAAGAAAGCAGAGGGTCAGTCTTCGTGAACTGGAATTGGGCTCTCGGTTTCTTAGGTATGATACCGAAAGCACAGCAACAAAAGGAAAAAAGTCGATAAATTGGACGTTATTAAAATGAAAATCTTTTGTGCTTCAAAGGACACCAAAGTGGTCCTCTGGAGGAACTGGGATGTGGGGAGTGCTGATGTGGCCTTGAGCGGAAAGGTAGATTCTCATGATGTGCCACTGAGCCAGTGACTTAGAGGGATATTTGTGTCTCTGACCGGTAAGTCTCAAATGGAGCTCCCGGCAAAGTCATCCCCCATGGGTGGCACTGCTGGTGGGTGCCCCTATTTTGGAAAGTGCCTGTGAGCCACATCACAATCTTAGCCTTCAATGTGGAGTCCTGCCCCTGGGAACTTCTCTTGAGAAAGTCATTGCAAAAGAGGAAATAAGTCACAGCTGAAAATGGCACAGCAGCAAAAAACACAATAGCTGAAGCCCTTAAAATGACCTGTCTCATAGGTGGAAGGTTAAACATGTCATTGTCAGTCAGGAAATGTTTTGAAGCTATTAGCTTCATAAACATAAAGTCTACGTAAAAGTCATCTTTCTGAGACAATGTTAAGAAAGAAACATGGAAAATAATAGTGTATATAGCTCTTGGTTATTACTGTGTCCCAGACTAGATTTATGGAGGATAAATGTTGGAAGGAACATGGAGCTGACGCAGTCGTATAGTTAAGGGGGTTAGATTATGGGTGAAAAGAAAATTTTCTTTAAAATTCTTAAATAGAGTATTGTAAAATTATTTTAATGATTTTTTTTTTGCCCCAAATCTTAAACAACTTTAACAATCCAAACTTAAAAACTAAGACACGTCTCTTTCTTTTTCCTCCCTTTGGGCTATGCTTGTGTTCACAGATGAATAATAAAAGAGAACATTTTTGCAAAAGTTCTGAAAAACCCTGGAGTTAAGGGTAGATAAATGTTAGGGAAAGTTTGGAAGAATAAAGAAAGCTGTGAAAAATGACAGCAGTGGTAGAAGCAAATGGATTATAAATAAAGCCAGGAGAAAGAGCAATGAGGGAAAGCGTACGAGGGAGACAGAGCAGGGCAGTGAGCCGGGAACGGGATGGTCTTGCAGAAAAATGGCATTGTAGAAAGCCCCTTGTCACACGCATTACTAATTTCCTCAGTAAAGACGTGTCTCTTGGCTAACGACATGACAAGGAGATAGAACAGTTCATTATGCTTTTCATTTCAAGTTTTACTTTAATTCTGGAAGCTCCATGAGGCAGTGTCTCCTATGCTCGTGTTGTGAGCCAGTACATAGTAGGTGCTCAGTAAAGGTTTGTTGAATGAATGCTGACTAAATGAGCTCACTTTTCTTCACTCCCTGAGACTAGGACCCCGCCTTGCTTTCTTTTCCTCTTTGTCCATCAGTCCTTGCTCCATTTCCTTTCACCTTTTAACACTCCCCGTAGCAGGATGTCTGGTACCTTTAGCTGCAGTGGTGATTGGATGAGGAAGACCCTTCTTAAGACACAAAGGTGCTCAGATGCTGCTTTCCTCTTGCATGTGCTCCCCAACCTCATACACAGGGGCGCGGTCGCCTGCTCTCAGCCTGGGACAGGACAGCTCTGTTGTCCACCTCCCAGAACTCCCCTCTCCTCCTCCTAGCACCCTCCGGAGTAGTCTCCAATATCTCTGCCTGTGACACCTGGCTTCTGTCCACTTCCTCGTCCCCTTAGCCCCTGTCTGAGTCTCCTTCTGCACCTGTAAAACCAAGGGAACCTCCAGACTGCCCTGCAAGGCTGTTTTGAGGATTGAATGAGATTAGTCTTAGTCCAGAGCCTGGGCTAACACCTGACAATTACTGTTACTGAAAACAGCCGGATGAACGCTAGGCGGGGATGTCCCATAACCTTAATCACACAGAGTTTTAAGACACATTTTTGTTAACCGTGATAGCGGAAAGAACACATTATACTTCCGTTTTCTGGAGGTAATTTAGCCTTGGGGAAAGTAATTTCCAGTTTTCTCCCCTCTAAAGTAGAGGGCAGAAGGCAAGTTGGATGAGGACTCAGGAGACCTCCTGGGTGCGATCTCAGGCCCGACCACCAGGCGGCGCTGCCGCACCGCGTAAGATCTTAAACTTCGCTTCTGAGCAAAGGGGCATGGACCCGCCTCGGGTTGCGCAGTTTCTTATGGGGTCTCATCTCATCCTCTTGTTTTTCAGCTCTGGGCCGTGAATTCCTCTTCCTCACAATTACTGTTTCAAATGCAAAACTGTGCTTTTGAGGCGTCCCTTTCTTTTCTTTCTTGAAACAAATGATCAACAAATGTGTTCCAACACTGTCTGCGGGAAGAGTACACACAGGATACAAGAAGCGAATACAGACGGTGTCAGAGAGTATTGGTATCTCCTGCTTCAGTCTGAGTATCAGATAGGGTGGAATTTATTTCAGGATGTCACGGAATCCGGATGCGTAATCAGATCATGTCCCCTGAAACGTAATTCTGCCATTAGACAATAAGATGTAACCCTCTAACAAATAGTTCTCGTCTTCCATATGTGTTTTACATATGAGCCATTCTTTGTTTGATTTTTAATATTATTACATTTTATGGAAAACACAGAAGATGACATATCAATGAGTAAAATTTGGAAGGCTACTCATATGTAGGAAACGGGAGACTATGTTCAGGAGACCATATCGATGAGGTTTGCTATCATCTTGGTCCGTTGTACATAATATAGGTTTCAATGGGAACCGCATAAATCCTTTTTGGGAACAAGGTAGTGTAGATAAATCAAGTATCGTTAAAATATCTA